AGTTTATCGTTTCTTTATTGTGCCTTAATGAAGTGTTTCTACAGAGAAATGTCGAACTTCTATGAAAGACGTGTGCTCCACTCGATGGAGTCTCCGATGCTTTGCGATTTCATCCCAGTCAAACTCGTCGTTCTCGTCGTCCAAATCGCCACACTTCTCATCACCGTCGGCGTCATTTCGAGAAATGTGTCGTTGAGTTCCGAATCAGCGATGTTCGAAATTTTTGTGGTAAGATTGAACATCGTTTACTGACTATAATTATCTAAATTGAGATAGGTTGTCTTCCTTGTGGCTTCCGTCGTTTCATTCCTCGCCGACTATGAACTCTTCATGCACATTCACTATTGGGTTGTATGCGTCTTGATCATCGTGCCACTATATTATTGGGGGCAATCCATTGTCAATCTCTACAGTGAGTAAATTTTGATATATCCATATATAAAACAAAATTAATTCACAGATCACATCTTCAACAACAGCGAGTCGCCAGCTGTTTTCTCGTTTGCCACATCAACCTTCATTTTGTGTTGTAAGTCTCCCATAAGTACAAACTGAGAATTCCTTCATATTTTCAGCATACATCTTCTACATATGGTCATGCAGACAGCTCATCATAAGTCTTGGGCGCAAATACGTTCTTCCATTCTTCAAATCTTAGAGCCAGACCTAAATATCTTCTTTCTGTTGATTTCCTTGTTATTTTTTATGCTCCCCGTTCACCTTTTGACCCACTCTAATAAGTTATAATAGCCCAGCTATAGTTTTATCCATAATATCTCTAGTTTTACCTCGGTTATAAAAATGTTCTTGTTTCTGGTTGCTTTATTTTCTAATCGGTGACATTCAGTGTTCTCCGTTTATTACTTATCCCTTTTCTTGCCTTCATGCACTTTTCCTTTTTTTTTTTAGGCTACAAGGATGGCGCACTTTTACGAGCCACGCGATTCGAGACTCTCAAAGGCTCCGCTTTGCTGTTGCTGCATTCCAATCAAATTCATCGTTCTTCTGGTGCAGGTGCTCGCATTGGTTTTCCAAATTTGGTTGCTTTGTGCTGAAAAGACATCCAACGTTATGTTGTTCGTCAAGGTTCTCTTGGTTAGTCATTCGATTTGTTTAAAATATTATTTCATGCATAAACTTTCAGGCCGTCTACACTGCTTTCACCTTTGGCGTTTTCCTCATCGAACACAAGAGCTTGATGAACTTCCATTGCTTCCTCGGAGTCATTTGCCTCCTCGCTCCGTTCGCTCATGTCGCTCTCGAATACTTCGCCTCTGCTAGTGAGTATTTTCAAGTTCTTTCAAAGACAAATTTCCCTTTTTCAGAAAAGTTATTCCTCCATTACGACTACTCTCCGAAAACCGATGTGTTCGTCATTGTTGGAATTATCATGCTTGGTAAGCTCTAAAAGGAGTCGAGCTTCCAAATTGCATTTTATTTTCAGTGGTTCTCGTCTACCTCACGATGTGTCGTGCTCTGGTCAATGAGCTCAACAAGCAAAATCAGCTCCCAAGCTACGTCGCTGCCACTCAACCTTCATTCAACACGGAGTACATGCCGGAGCTTACAGAAAAGACGAAGCTCATTCATCCAATTTATCCACAGCTTCAATACTAGACAAAACCTGGGCAATTACTCTTTGACTACACCACTCTTTGACTACAAAGTCTCTTTGACTACATTTATCTCTTTGACTACATTTATCTCTTTGACTACACTTGTCTCCTTGACTACAAAGTCTCTTTGACTACACTTAAAAAAATTTTAAATTTTCTGCAGTTTTTGTGGGCGTTCTTACAGAATATAAGAAGAATTTGAGCCTAAGCCTATAATTTTTAACAAAAAACTGACAATTCCAAAAATACATAACAGTGAAAAAAAAAGTACTGAAATTCGCGAAAATCAGCAAAATTCTCACTTTTTTTCGCTGAGATTTCCGAAATTTTACTATTTTCTGTACAAATCAAAGGCTTAGGCTGAAACGGTTACCGGAAAACTGGTGTTTTAGCCTAAGCCTATAATATGAGACAAAAATCGGAAACTCCAATAAATTCAGTCAAAAAGTACTATAAAACAAAAAAATGTAGTCAAAGAGACTTTGTAGTCAAAGAGACAAGTGTAGTCGAAGAGATAAATGTAGTCAAAGAAATTTTGTAGTCAAAGAGTAGGTGTAGTCAAAGAGTGGTGTAGTCAAAGAGTAATTGCCCAAAACCTGCTTCTCGTTACATTATATACAAACTGTTTTATATCTTCTGTTTTTGTTACATTCTTTTGAAAGAAACTTTCAAAATCACTTGTTGACACCTGCACACAATTTCTAATGAAGCGATTATTCAAACGATCTTATTGAGAACAATTTTAAGCAACAAAGTCGACTCGACATATTCGTCGTAATTAGTAAAACACCTTGGCTTTTTACACAACTTTTCGGAATATTTCCGAATGTGATAAAATGAGCTCTGAACTTAGAAACGACAAGTATTTTGGTAGTTTTCTCTGTACAATATATATATATATATCAGAAAACTAGCCGCCAGTGCCAGAGCTATGGGCCTTTCAATTTCACGTGATTTGCATTAAAAGCCAGCGAAATTTTTAAGCAGGCAATATTTGCCTGTTTAAAATTTAAACCGGCCTCAAATGCCGCTTTTTTTTTGAGAATAGAATTTACGTTTTGAGTCACTATTATCCCTTCAATGTAGCTTCAATCTTAAATATCTCAGTTCTTATGAAAGATAGCAGAAAACGGTCAACTGATAAAATGCTCCAAATGTCAAGAAAACATTTTCGCAGTTGACAGTCTGTCATAGTCAGGTTAGGCCGTCAGGTTCGTCCGTCAGGTCTGACCGTCAGGTTTTTTCGTCAGGTTCGACCGTTTGGCCGACGCCACGCGGTCGAACCTGACGGTCGAACTTGACGGTCGATCATGACGGACGGACCTGACGGNCTAACCTTGAAGGTCGAACCTGACGGAAAAACAGACAAAAAAGGGACGAAAAACGGACAAATATCTTCTGTTTTTTTGTTACATTTCTTTTGAAAGACACTTTCAAAATCACTCTTTGACAGCATCTCTGATGAAGCAATTATTCAAACTATCTTATTAAGAACAATTTTGTGCAACTGTCGACTCGACATATCCGTCGGAAGTAGTAAAACACCTTGGCTTTTAATACAACTTTTCGGAATATTTCCGAATCTGATAAAACCAGTCGGTTTACGCCTCTTCGGCTTGACATTTTGGACATGGAATTTTATAGATTCAACAACTTCTGAACTTATTTTATGTATTTCCCATTTCAAAATCTGAGAATATTTTCCGAGTTTCTGATTTTCTGAACTATGAACCTGACCCTGAATGATGTGATCTTCGGACGTTGAAAGTCCTAGAAATTTTCTCACTCGAGAAACTCTCTAACTAAAAATTTAGGAAATGCAGAAATTTAGAAATTCTGAAAATCAAAAATCGAGAAATTCGGTAAATCTGAATTCCAAAGAAATCTAGAAATTCAGAAAATTAGGTGTTTTAGGAATTTGAGACTTTTCAATTTTTCAATTTCCAGAGTTTGGAATTTCAGAATTTAAAAGTTATAGAACTATAGTATTCGATGAGATTCAAATTCGAAAAGTGAACCTCATGAATCCATTAATTCTGAATAACTGAATTTCTGAATTACCGAATTTCTAAGTGTTCAAGTTTCTGGATTTTTATGTTTCTAATTTTCTCACTTTTTTTAATTTTAAAGGATTTTTAGACTGCGAATTTCTAATTTTCGGATATCTGAATTTTGCAATTTTGGGTAAAAAAAATGTAGAAATTGGAAACACCGGAATTCTATGCGATTTTAATTTTAAAATTTCAGATTCTTGAAAATTTAAATTTTCCAATCCGCACATTTTAGTTTTTCCGGAACTTTTAAAAATTTGAAGTAAGGATGCCGAGTTTACGAATTATCAAATTTTTGAACTTCTGAGTTTCCAAATTGGCGAATTTGAGTTTGAGATTTGAAAAAAAAAAGGTTGAGAGTTTGGGATTTTCAGAATTTTTGAGTTTCCTTATTTCAGAACTTTCGAATTTCTGAAATTGTATGCAGGTGTCAACGAGTGATGTCCGACCGTCAGGTTCGACCGTCAGGTTAGGCCGTCAGGTTCGACCGTCAGGTCCGTCCATCAGGTTCGTCCGTCACATTTTAGTTTTTCCGGAACTTTTAAAAATTTGAAGTAAGGATGCCGAGTTTACGAATTATCAAATTTTTGAACTTCTGAGTTTCCAAATTGGCGAATTTGAGTTTGAGATTTGAAAAAAAAAGGTTGAGAGTTTGGGGTTTTCAGAATTTTTGAGTTTCCTTATTTCAGAACTTTCGAATTTCTGAAATTGTATGCAGGTGTCAACGAGTGATGTCCGACCGTCAGGTTCGACCGTCAGGTTAGGCCGTCAGGTTCGACCGTCAGGTCCGTCCATCAGGTTCGTCCGTCACGTCCGTTTTTTGTTAGCCAGGTCCGTCCGTTCATCGGTCAGGTCGTCAGGTTTGTCCGTCAGGTTCGACCGTCAGGTTCATCGGTCAGGTTAGGTTCTTCCGTCAGGTTCGTCCGTCAGGCGTGGCGTTGCCAAACGGTCGAGACTGACGAAAAAACCTGAAGAAAAAACCTGACGAAAAAACCTAACGGACGAACCCGACGGACGAACCTGATGGACGTACGTGACGGACGGACCTGAAGGACGAACCTGACGAACCGGAAGAACGAACTTGACGGAAACTGACGAAAACTGACAAAAGCAGACAAAAAACGGGCAAAAAAACGGACGAAAAGATGAAAAAAGCTGGCGAAAATTGAGCATATATTACCAAAACTATACTTCGGATCTAGTTTTTTTTTTGCAACACAGGCCGTTCAGAGCTCAGAAAATTCCCGGGATGTACCCGCGGTTATCTCGGTGGATCCTATCACACGATCTCTGCTGAGCCACTAGGGACTATGCATACCAACCTAGGAGCTCCCCTGCCTGCCAACCATCCTTAGGATCTCAGCCGACTCAGAAGAGATTGAGTGATGTTCACCGAAAAACCCCCAAAACGAGGACGATTATATAGTGGGGTATTCTGAATGTACCGACATCTCCCGGGTTCCGCCGTCCACTATACTTTGCGTGCAGGTGGGCGGGGCTTCGGGTGCCTTCTGGGAATATTTCCGTTTTCGATGGTTTTTCACCCATTTGCTTTCAAATTTTGGAAGATTATACGAATCGCTTGACTTCAAGGACCTGGAACACAGTGTAGTCTCGATAAATACAGTAAAAAATGTAATCTCGATAAATACAGTCCTCAACTTCTAATTTTTCGTGTCTTTTTAAATGATTTCTGAAAAGAAAGGACTCCTCTGATATCGAACAAATTAGCTAAAAAATCGTCAAGTTTTAGCTTTTTTCAAGTTTGCAAACTTGAATTTTTCTAGCTTCGAAGCGATCGTTTCTTCTTTTCCTGATTATTGCAGATCTAAAGTACGATGTTTTTATGTTTTGGAATTCAAAAACAATGCAACACAAAAATATTTATTTACTTCCGGTTTAATTTCTACTCGCTTCTTTTCTAGAGACATAATTTATAATACAGGAAAATTCAGGGAATGACAGAAGTTGAGTTACAATTTATGACGAATATCAAGTTCCTTCTCTTCTTTTGTAGCACTTTCTCCATCCAAATACTTTGCCACGTACCAGCAGGTTGGCTGGACGAGGTACTTGTTATCAGCAGCATACTTGAGACCTTCCTTGACGAGAACACGGGCGACCCCTTTTCCTTGTTGATCTTCTGGAGTTACAGTATGCTGGAAGTCGAGGACACGGTTTGGAAGTTCAGCATATTGAAGGTAGGCTTTTGAGCCGGTATCTTGAATCATGATAAGATTTTTTCTCAGTTCGTGTTAGTCAAAACTCACTGAATTTGATGAAAAATTCTGTAGCTTTTCTGCAATGTTCGACACGGAAAGCCATCTGGAACATAAGAAAAATAACATCTTCTCTATAATACCGAATTACGAGATTCAGAATTCTACAGAAGTAAAAATTCGGATAAAAACGAAATGCAAAAACATAACCGATTTTTTCGAATTTTATTTTATCTTTCAATTTCACAAGACAGAAGCACAAATATTCACAGAAAATAAAGAGGTTGGGACTAGAATGCGTTAAAAAGGGAAGAGGGAGGCGAGAGACAAGAGTTGGAGCGTAGAGCAACCGAATGAACTTCAAAATAGAGGTCTTATTTACAAAGGGATGCGTTTAAAACTTTTGAATTGAATTCTAGACAGGGCGAGAGTGAAGGGGAAAGCTTGAAAAATGACAATCAAAATGCAAAAAAAAGAAAAAAGAGTAAGAGTTACAGCATAGCTAAATGAGAATACTTGGGAGTGAGATCAGAATGCGAAAAATTTTATTTAGAAAGAATTGGAAGCTCGGCGTCGATTTCCCAAATTATGAGATGAGACATATCACGAGGCCGAATCGATTGACCAGTTAGCTCTGGCTCATTTTCTTCTCCTGGAACGATTTCTTTTATTTAAAATATTTTTAGATTTCTTAATTACCTATCCGGAAATCAATATATCCATCTCCTCCAGACATGATCAACATTCGTCGAAGAGTCACCTCAGCTGACTCATCTTCTCCGTTCTTTGATGCTCCGGGTACTCCGAGGAAGAACTTGACGCTGTCTTTATGTCCGTGGAACGATAGTTGTGCATGTGAGAGGTTACAGTATGGAATGAAGTCGTCGCTTGACTTCTCGTCCGTGTTGTTTTCAGAAGACGTTCCATAAACTCTTACAAGTCCACCTGGTCCAGCAGGCCTCTTGGTGTCTTTGCTTTCCACTTTCTTTTCGATTTCTGAAAAATAAGTTGGTTGGGCAAATTGAATCTCCTTGTATTGTATTGTATTTATTACGTAAAAAATACGTGGAAGAATAAAAAGAAAAAAGAATGAAAAAGAGAATAAATAGACAAAAAGGGACATGGTGACATAAAATTGATATTTCTTAACCTAGACATGAATAATAGTGGATAATAACAAATCTTTTTCCGAACTTCTGACAGCAGCAGGCATTTAGATCCGTTTTGTAGAGCTCATCATTTTACTAAGAACCCTATGTGTGAAGAAGTTTTGTTTAAGACTTTAAAGTTTTCCATTGGTAGGTGTGGCGGCTGCGCGTTTTTGTCGATCTAATTTCGAAATATGATAAATGATTTATATTAATTTTACCTAGAATAAATTAGTTTGTTGAAGAATTTCAGATCAAGCTTTTCCCGTCTAGATTGTAGTGATTATAGGCTGAATTCGGTCAATCTGTCTTGAGATGTTTTGTAATCCTTATCAATTCTCATTAAGTTTCTACCCACTATTCTATTTATCAATTTTCTAGTGAAGGAGCTTTGTACTTTCTCAATATTGTCAATGAGGAGTTTTTAGAAGGGCTGGCTACCACCCTTCCATATTCGAAATACGATTTCATGAAACTTACGTCCTGAGAACGGGACTGAAATAATGACTCCAGTACCAGTTCCAATCCAAAGTCTTCGATTTGAAACCAGAAGAGCCGTTGTTCGCATATAAGAGAAATCGAGTTTTGAAGTGCCGAGCATCTTTGTCACATATGGCTCAATATCAACATCTTGCAAGTGTTCGTAGGTGTGAGCATGGTACAGGCGAAGAGTTGAATCCAAACGAATCGAGAGCCAAACTCCTGCTCCAACCCACTGCATGTTTCGAACTTGACTGTCTTTTCTTGGGTGAGCCGCAAACACTTTCTATAGCAAAAGTATTGTTAAAATAGGAAACACAATCATTTCTGTATAAGATGATTCTTTTAAAAACCTACCACAATCTGTAGACTTTCCGCATCAATAACTACCACACAGTTTTTATATGTAGCCCAGATGTTCGTTGAAACAAGACACAATGATCGAACTGATGACGTGGCGTTTCCGACTCGCAGCGAGTGATATCCTTCGTCAGACCATTCACCATCTGAAGAATTTCAAATTAAAATATGACTTTTAAATCCAGAATTACGTTTATTTCTGTGGAAGATTGCGATTGTTCCATTGGCAAGAGCGGCAAAGATTCGGCCCTTGTAGTGTCTGAAAAATAAATTTTACAGCATTCTTTTAGCATTTTTACAAAATTTACACAATACTGAGAACTGCATCTGGCATTTTGATTCGGCGAAGGCACTGTTTCCATGCAGTTACAGCGGAGTGAATATATATGCTGAAAATTTGAGATTTATATATGGAATATGAAAAATTTTCATACTATTGATTCTGCCCTCCCATCCATACAGTCGGAAGTGCTCCACTCATTTGTCCAGATACTCCATCGTACTTGCTCATTGCATCTCGGATATGAGGAGGGAGAGCCGCACGACCTCCTGGACGATTTGCAGGAGGAACTGGCTCTGAATTTTTTGAATTTTGAAGGAATTGTGAAGCATATGCATAGAGAAGTGCAAGAGCGGAAATCTAATCCAGGCAATTACCGTACACCTGTGATAAATAGAAGGTTCCCCTAACTTCCAAATTTGAACCAATTCATCTCGATTCCTGTGAAAAATATAGAACAGTTGTCAACTGATAAATGCTTATCATAGTATTAGATTTTTTCATCAGTTGACAAATTTCTGATATCTTGCGTATGAGCCAAGAAAAATTAGCTCAAACATGAGAGTGTGGGGGCTCTTCTATTACAGGTTTTACAGTATCCTAGTTTTGCTAAAATCAGTTGTAAAATGTGTATGAAGGAGAAAACTGAAGGATAGACTTGAAACATTGAGAAACCAAGTGGTGATAGCTGTAGTACTCAACACAGCAACAAAAATCATTTGTTTTCACCTTTTTTCAATTTTTCCAAAGGTATCAATTTCGGCGTCTCATCTGGCACAACGCTTTCCGTCACTCTTGTGAGTTTAGTTTTTGCTAAAAATTGATTTCCGATCAATTTTTGTTTAGAATCATATTTTTCTTCTTTTGCAAATGCTGTCTTCCAGGAATAAAAGAAATACAAACTCAAAATATTACCTTTGACTGGAACAGGAACAGATGCTGGATCTACGGCAGCCACCTCACTGATGCTGACTGAAAATAAAAAATTCTAAAGATTCATACTCGAATTCAGCATACAATCTCTTGTTCTCTTGGGACTTGGCTTCATATCATTGGAACAGTACGTGGGAACTCCATCTTCAGAGTCTTCCATTTTTCGAAGCTCCACCCATTCGCACGACCCAAGATCTGTGCTATCTAATCCTTCTGGCAACTCTTTCACTTTTCCACCACCACACAAAAACTTCTTCGACTGCTCCTCATTCATTTCTGGCTCTCCTTCCATCACTCCAGATACTGCTTGAATGCAGAGGAGATGGCTGTCACATGCTGGGAATGTTTCAATTATGTTATTCGGATTGTTGGCGTCGAGAACAGCGATGAGACTTTTTCCTTGATTCGAACTGACTACCCAGACGAGTGAAGACGATTGCCATTCATCGAGTTCACTCTCACGTGCATCCAGGTTTCGAGCTCTCTGAAGCTAGGAACGATGGCTAGAACAGAACATAGTAAGTCTTTCTCACCTTTATCTCATCTTCTAACTCTGTTCTGGTATTGGACGTTTTCGTTTTCTTCATGGATGCTGGAGCGAAATAAATCGGATCTCCAACAATCCATTGTCCTTTTTCATCTCTTCCGCCTCTCAATACAACTCCTGTTGCACACCAAACCTTTAGTGATGGCTCATTATCAAGAAGTGGTCGACAACAAACAGGAATCGGAACTGACGAAACATCAGCGTCTACATTTGGAAAAGACCATCCGTATGCTTCGATTCGTCCGTCCTCTTTTTTCACATGCTCTCGTACCAACTTATACTGCTCTCTTCTCTCGGCAGCACGTCTCTCCGAAATCCTGTAAGTCTTTCATGTCATCATCACAACAATTTTGTAAAAATAATAATTCTTTATCATCCAAAATATGATTGGTTCCCAGGCTTGATGCAACACATCACAACACAAAAATAAAAGGGAGAAATAAGGATAGAGGTAATTGGGAATGCATGCGGAGAAAGGGTTTAGAAGTAATAATACCCGTTAATTATGAAATAAACCATTTTACATGAGAAACACCGGAGGATTCAACATCACCTATTAAACTGAAGAAACTAAGTTGCTTAATGAAAACAAGGATAACTGTATTAATGTGAATCTGATGTCACATCATTCTTCAATAAGATGACGTCAAACTGAACACTAATAATGTGTTAATAAAATTTAAAAAAAACTGAATCAAGTCTCTGGGAGAGTGCGAGGGTGCAAGAAAAGAGATCCTGTTATGAGCCAGATTATCAATAGGACAGTTAAAGCCATATGCATAGTGATTTTATTATGTTTCTAGTGTTAGTGTGTGCGATAAATGAGTTCTATAAAGTAAAAAAGATTTCAATAAGGTCGGTTGAGATCGAAGCATCACTGGTTATCGGGATAGATGGATCCTACAAAATGAATAAGAATACCATTCCATACTACGTGCACACGACATCAAGCTTATTTTAACTCTATTCTTCAACTAACATGTCTGGATCGATATACTCCACAGAACGCGTCATCTTGCTACGCGAAGAGGTGGTACGGTTACCCCGAGCCGATGCGGGCGGAGTCACAGATTCACCCAGGAGACTTGAAAAACTGTAAAATTGAAAACTATGAAGCACGAATCGGAGATAAGTTAGCTAACAATTCCCATATTCCACCGGACTTCTTCTGGTTGACGTTTTGCTGTTGTTGTTGCATCTTCTTGGCTCGTTGCATTTCGGTCCATTTGATCGACTCTTCCAGCTCCATGAGCTTCTCTTTGTATGCATTACGATCCATGAGAACACGCTGCATTTCAGAACGAGTGAAGCGTTTACGCATCGCCATAGGAACATCTTCCTGTAATTAGAATGGTATTTGAGTAAGGAACTATTTTCAAACCTCTTCTTGTTCGTTTTCCTTCTCCATGAGCTTTTGCTTCATTGTCTTCACTTCCTCTTCAAGCTTTGCAATCTGTTCGTGCATCTTCTCACTGACCATTTGTCTGCTCATGTTCTCATCTCGCAAGATCATATTCTCACTGCTCAACTCGTCAACTTGGTTGATCAAATCGTTTTTCACAATGTTCAGCGCATTCTTCATATCCAGAAGCTCAGAATTCTCTTTGATCAGATTCTCGACTTCTCGACCCATTCCTGGAAATGCCAGATTTAGTTGAAGTTAGATTATGGGTGCTACGAAACACAGGGGAAGCGCTGTTATTATGAAGCACATGTATATCTTCCTGATAAGTGGTTTTGTGAAAAAAAAAGAATTTGGGGAGCGGAAAGTGAAGTTAACTGGAAGATTATTCATGTCTTCATAAAGATAATCGTCGCATGCGAATTTTGACAAAAAATTCGGGTTTTTCCAAAAAAAAAACATTCAACATATTTGCTGTAGTGTCAAATAGAGACTGATATTCCTTTCGAACAAAAATCACGATCACTACATTTGAAAACTTACCGATGAATGTGTCGTTAACTGTAAAAACAAAAGTAGTATGAAAAAGATAGTTAGAAAGATAAAAGGATAAATGCGAACTCAAATCACTGGCGGCTGCTGACGCATGCAACATGCTTCATTCATAATCTCCCTACCCAAACTTCCATCGTCCGAAGTATCGTCATCGTCCAGAAGGGGGTCATCATGCCGCTGTCGTCGTGGTTTCAATCCCAGACCATTCCACTCCGTTTCGTCATCTGGCAAAACACAAAAGGCACATCAAAATTACGATACAACATCTAATCTATTTTTCTTTTAAATAATACAATGGGAAAGTGCACAGGGGGGTTTGTGTGCGGAGAGAAAAACAATCGGTGTTTTCGCCATACTAATGAATTCATGCGTTTTGAAAGGAGACGGACAGAAGCCGAAGAAAGCAAGCTGAATACCAATAACAAAAAAGATGGATGGATATACAAAGGACGATATTGAAAACTGAAAATTTACCCGCTGAGGAGAATTCCGCCGGATCCACTAGGTTTCCTGTCAAATTGGATAAGGTAAAAAGTTTGTAAATAATAAGGTGGATATATATATATATATTTAGGAAACCCCCCCCCCTACTGAAAAAAAAGTGATTTCCAAAACTTTGGGTGATGTGAAAAAGTGAGGATAAAAGAAAAGCAAAAAGAAAGTTAGTGTGAAATCGACGGAAGGACGAACATTCTGATTATTCAGACTATAGAAATTAATAGATTTTAAATTTAAGAAAAACTAACCAGTGAGATCAGCACCGAGCGAGTCGTTGTTCTCCTTGGGTTCCCTGAAAATGTACACATAAATAAAATGAATGAAACCAAATCAACAAACAACGAAGATGTGTCATCTGCTTCTTCTTCTGATCGTTTCGGTGAAACAGCTTCATGCTGTGGAGTGGGCTCTTTCGTAAAAACTGGAGATGCAAGAGATTCTGATGCTGGAGGAGGAAGGTCGCGCGGGGACGGCTCAACATCCGAAGAGAACTCATCTTGCCAATCTGTAAAATAATTTTCTGTTAGTCTGGAAACTTTTTCCGACAATACCAAAAAATGTTAGTGGTTTCGAGTACATGTTAGTGGTTCAAAAGTTGAAATAACTTTTGAAAAACCTTTTTGATTGATACAGGCATTTTTTGTTCGAATTTCCAAGTTGGAAAAACAAACTGCAATCAGGTTTTTGAAACTAGACTGACCTTCATTAGTGATGTGATTTGCCAAATTCACATCCATAGTCGTTGATTGGGTCATGTGGGCGGAAATGAGATCCGAAACTCCACGAATCGATGATGCATCGACAGAAGCGGCCATTCCCATCCTAAATTATAGTAAATGTAAAGACAGATTTAATGATCCAAATAATTTGTGACATAGAAACAAAATTTCACAACAATAAGAGAATAAAGGAAATGGTGATTTCAGTGGCATGCTTTTCGAAAATCGGAAAAAAAACTATTTTTGAATCACAACCAGAGAAGGCCAACAAAGAAAGAAGAAGAAAAAGAAAACTGAAATCGGACCCTTGTGATCAAAAAAAAAGAGACAAACTCACAATAAAAAGTTACTTTCATCACCACTTTTATGCAAGCGATGCGAGATTGGAAACCAACTACAAACGACATCACGACGGTCAAAATTGAAGATTTAAAAGAATCAACTCACTTATTCCTCAACTGCATGTTTGGCAGTGGCATATTCTGCATTAGCTCGAACTTCTCACTTCCCATTAGATATTTCGTACGTTCCATATGATCAACATGTGTACGAAGAAGTGTGTTATACCGTTCATGGAGTCGATCGAATTCCAGCTTCTGTTCAGCCTCCCTTTCTTCCAAACGGTTTGCTGAAAACCCAATTTTTGACATTCCCGAATAACAGAGAAAAACATACCATGATCAGTTGCATTTTTCGCTTTCAACTCGAGCATTCGCATAATGGACTCAAGAGATTCTATCTTTTTATCCAGCTCTTTATTCTGCCCGATTAAAGTATCTTCTATTTCGATGTACTTCTGTTCAGTCTGCTTTCGAAGAGCTTTTTCTCGCTCATACTGCGTCTGTAACTGTTCGTTGTCTTCTTTGAGCATTTCCAGTTCGGCAGTTTGCTCGTCACGTTCCAAATAAGCGAGATCCAATGATTCGAGCACATTGACAACGAGAGGCATCAGTGTCTGAAAATAAATAAACAACAGTGCTGACAGAAACCAAAAAGATTATATATTCAATGTGACTTCGGCAAGGTATTATTGTTTTTGCATAAAACACTATAAAATATGTTCACTAATGTTTTTAAAATTTCAAATTTAGAGTTCTCACAGTGGAGGAGAATTTCAACCAGAAAATAAAAAAAACAGAATCTTTTCAAAGAAAAACTCACTTTCACATTCTCTTCTCCATGCACTTTAATCATTGTCTCCAACTCTCGATAAATCGCCGATGCCATCGTCTGCACTTTGTCTGACATTGTTCGATGCTCATCTGGCGAGCCGGTTCCGCCGTAGACAATCTGTGATAATTTCTCTCCCATTAGAACAGAATGCAGCATAAAGACGCCGCTAGGACTACTGTTTTGTTGTCTAACGAATCAATACTGGAGAGGAAGTGTGGAAGAGAAACAAAACGGTATTTACTGGCCGAGAGTGGGTGGCGATAAGAGAACGAGATAACTATCGGAAGAGGCGCCTGGCAATACTAATTGTCTTTTCTACCAACCTCAGACGGTGTACTGCTCGTGATAGAGTCGGCCATCTCGTTCACAGGTGACAGATTACAAGCCATTTTCAGCGATCAAATTCGGTTTATTATTGGTCCATGGGAGTACCTGCAATTTGTGTCAGTCAGTCTGAGGTGCTCTTGCTGCTTTACAATGAAAAAATCTATGTAAATAAAGTGTCACTCCTCTCTCGTCTCGGCGACATAAAATCGATGCCTGCTGGCTTGGCGCATGTGAGAATCTCGTGGATGAGAAACTACGGTATTAAGCGGAAGTGCGGCGTTTCGGAGCGTTTTATGCGTTCTCAAAACACGCAGCTGCGCGCACTTCTCTTCTTTTCAAGTGGTTGGAAAGAGCTTGTTCTTCTTCTTTTTATGAATACACTTCATCAACAATACTAACAAATTAAGCTCAAAAGTAGAAAATTAAGTTGTACAGAGCTAAAATTTTCATATTTAGAAACAGAAGGAAAACAGAATCGCAAAGTTTTCAAAGGAAAAGAGTTTCGCAACATCTCCCATTGTTTGCTCTTCCGTTTGTTGCGCACTGCCTATTTAGGATGGATGGATGTGGTCATATAAAGAAAGAAAGTAAGAAAAATAGAAAAAGAATTTCATTAAAATAAGTTTTCATCAATCATCGTCATCTCGTTCAGATGGGATTTCCGGTGCACTGAGAAGGGCCATGAGTAAAATGCCACTAGTGGATAGGAAGACTAGACCAGAAGCAACCTGAAAAAATAATTATTGAAAAACTGAATTGATAGATTTGAAGACAAACCACAAGGAGTAATACTGCATTTTGAATTGCAGCATGCTCTGCAGAAGCTATGGGAACAAACGCATACACAATGAAGAAAATTAGCGAGAGAAGTGTGGTTACTATAGCTGTAGAGTGGAAGATCAGAAGCTGAAATTGGGACATTTATTCCATTTTTAATATATTTTAACCTTAATTTTTCCCATAGTCTGTATACACTTTGATCTGCTCATAATCAAAAGTCCAATAAAAGTGATAACGGCGAAAACCATACAAGTGACACCTGCGGAGAACATCCAGAATCCTTCAAATTTGGATATGTGTCTCATTGGAACAAGTCCTTGAAACAGGATCGTCAGTCCGATCATCTTAAAACAAAATGAGACGTTTTTTAGGTCAAAATTGAAGGATTTACAAGATTCGCTACTAGAAGTTTGTTTGAAATCATGTTTCCATCTACCTTCCAGATTTTTACAAATCACTTTTATTATGAGTTTATTGAAATGTTACAAGAAACGTGGGGTGGAGAATTATAAAATTTGTATGTTGAAATTTTCAGCATATAAATTAAAGGGTCACGAAATAAAACATATTTATTGATGAATTCAAGTTCAGACTTCTTTTTTGCCCTTCTTTTTAGGTTTCGGCTTATCTCCCCCTCTTCCGCCACCTTGTGAATAGTCTCCAGAATCTTCTTTTATCAGTTCCAATCCTTCGATGGCGTTCAGCTTATCCAAATCTTCCTTTCCTTTAAAATAAACTGGTTTTACAACTTTTGAAAATTCTGAACACACCTGATGGTTTACAAACTGCACTTTTGCTTTTCAGAATAGTCAAAACTACGAAAACAGCGGAAAAGAGAGCACCAAGTCCTGCGTAGACGCCGGTGACCATAATAAGAGAGTCATGTGGCAAAATATACAGATTTTTACTCATGTTTTCTCTTGTTGTTTTTGAAATAATAAACACGAAACTCTTATTTATTAAAGTTTGAAACAAAAACGAGAACACGAAACAACAAAAATCATGACGTTAAATATACATTTTGATGAGCTCTTCTCCCACAGCTTCTGGTTTCATGGCTCCTACATCCGTGATAATGAGCGTTAAGAACTCGGGAGCGGTGTAATCAACATCTGGATGCTCTGATTCTAGCTGGTCTTTTGCAATTACAGATGTGCGGTACTGAAACAAAGTTGATTCGGATTTTCATGACTTTGGTTTTACCTTGAATTCTTTTGGAATGTCAGCTTGATTCAAAGGGAACTCTCGAACGAATTTGATTGTTTCAGCGCAGACGTAAACTGGAACATGTCGAGATTTTGCAATCACACAGACGTTGACAGTTCCGATCTGAAATGTTTTAATGCGTTCTTATCCATTTTAATAAAGATCTTGACCCACCTTGTTCACGATTCCACCAGTTTCCATAACTCCTTCGGCACCAACTAAAACTGCTTGAATTCTTTCCATGATATATCCGACACAACTATCTAATACAAGAGTTGCAGGAACTCCATTTTTCTTCAGTTCCCCTAGCATCAACTTTCCCGATGCATCTGGTTGTGATTCAGTGACCCATATATTCAGATGATATCCACTTTTATGAGCATCAAGAATTGTTTCGAGGACTACTTTACTGTAGGAGTGTGTAAGAATATTCTGGAACTTTGTAAATAAATTTAGAGTTCAAAAAAAGTAACGGACCATGTGATGTGTGAAGAAAAGCCGAGCACACTTTGAGATTTTCGCTCTCGAGCCACGAACATTCTTGATGAAAGATCGTGCTCGCTGACGATACAGATCCAGAACTTGAGAAAAATCTTCTTGATCCAAAAGAGCGGCCGGAGCTAAAGAAGTGAATCTAGTGAATAAATCAGCTGCGCTCCGAATCGATGTTGAGCTGTAATCGGTCTTCTCGAGTGCGGCAACCACCTGCTTCAGTTCGTTTTGAAACTCGGCAACCGTTGTGGCTAAAACTTAAGTCTCAGAAAATATCGATAACATTAAATCTTACCTCGGCTCCGATCCAAAACTTCCATAAGTGTTTCGACGGTTGCTAAACTGGTTGATTTGCTTGGATCGTTTTCAAGTTTGGCACGAAAAGAGGAAATAATGCTTTCTTGTACCATATTGCTGAAAAAAACATGAATATATTCAGTTGAAATTAGATTTATTGAGCAAATTTGGAATTTAAAACGCTGAAAAAAAGATAAAGAGACCCCGCAAATTCCGGAGAAAAAATTTTCCGGGGAAAAAAAACTCCGGAGAAAAGTGGGCGGAGTCGGACGCGGAGCCTAAATTGCAACCCTGGCACTG